CAGGCCCGACCTAAGACTAGGGGGACAAGTAATGACATAACATACAAACCTGGAGGTCCGCGCGGATTTCTCGGATCGGCGCTGGACCCCCCTCCGTGGAGAGCGGAGGCGCCGCCAGAGGGGTCCAGCGCGGATCCGAGAAACCCGCGCGGACATCCGAGCTTTTGTGTTTGTGTCATTCTTCGTTCCCCCAGAGACGGCCACGGCGTCGGAGGTCTGGGTGAGGGGGGCGGGTTGGGAACGTGGGGGCTGCGACGTCTGCAGCATGCAGCCGGCGGCGGCTCCACCGCCAGGCTCCATCGCAGGGTGCGTTTCTCCGTATGCGCGGCGGCTCCTCCCAGCGCCCCCTGGGCGTGGGGGGAAGCCAGTCCGGCGCTCGCAGCTGCTTCGCCGATCCCCCTTTTCTGACCCTCTCTTATTCGGCGGCGAGCCCACACACTGATACTATGTGTGCGTCTCCCTCCCAGGGGCGATGCGCCCGCCAAGAACTCTTCTAGTACATCAGCGATGGCGGCCGCGTTCTGGCCATACTGTTTGGAAGACGATCTGCATCACAATGGTTATATTAGATGTTCGGGTCCCGCACGCACGCCTCCAATGAGGACGCATCGTGCTGGTATCTCCCTGGGCGTCCCATCTATCTGGTTGACCCACAAGGAGGTCCAGCGAAAAGAGGATGGTGCAATAGATCTGGTGCCATGGACGTGTGGGGTTGCAATAGATTTGGGGTGTGCAGTACACTCCGGTGCGCAGACGTATTTCTGGACTCTCGCGTGCAGCACACATCAGCTGCAATACAGTGCTCTCTCCTGCGCAACGCCTTTGCAATACGACTGCCCCCCACATCTGTTGCACCACCCTCCTTCCAGCTGGACCCCCTCCGGGGCCACGAGGAATTCGAACGACTGCGCCCGAGAGCCCGGACCGGGGCAGCGGCAAGGGGGCGGACCGGGCCCCGGGGCGGGAGGCGTCGACCCCCCTCCATCGCGCCCCCTCCTCGCCGGGCGGGGCCCGGGTGCAGCGCCCGGCCCGGGGCCCCGCCGCGCGCGGGCCCGCCTCGTCGAGGCCCCGCCTCCGAGGCTCCGGCTCCGCTGCGATTCGATTCCGATTCCGATCCGCTTGCCGTCGATGCCTCCACTTCGACGCGAGGTCGATCTCGAGGTGCTCTCCGATGCCGCCGCGGCCTCGTCGGCCTCGGGCTCCGAGGGCGAGAGCGCCGGGGTCTCGAGGAGGGGCCCCGCCGCTCTGCCGAGCGCCGCCGATGCCACTCCTCCCGACTCGGCTGCCGATCTCCGCCGATCCGATTCACATCGATCGCCGCTTCGTCTTCTCGATCCGGTGTCCCAAAATAGTCCCAAAATAGTCCAAACATATTCCACACATTATCAACAACTAGTCAGCAAATAATCAGACAAAAGTCAAAACATAGTCTTTTTTTTTTTTTTTTTTTTTTTTTTTTTTTTTTTTTGTTTTTTGTTTTTTTGTTTTTCATTTGGGAGTATTTCTGGGGTACTTTTGATTTTTTCTCGAAGCTCCCCCTGTTAGGGGACACGCCCGACTTGATCCTGGGCCCTCCTGCATCTCCGATGAATCTCCGTGCCCTGGACCCTCCTGCGTCTGACTTCATCCCCCTGTAGGGAGACACGCCCGACTTGATCCTGGGCCCTCCTGCATCTCCGATGAATCTCCGTGCCCTGGGCCCTCCTGCGCCCGACTTCATCCCCCTGTAGGGGGACACGTCCGACTTCATCCTGGGCCCTCCTGCACCTCCGATCAATCTCCGTGCCCTGCGCCCTCCTGCGCCCGACTTCATCCCCCTGCAGGGGGGGGACACGCCCGACTTCATCTCGGGTCCGTCGGCAGGGCCTCGCCGATTTCCAGGGCCGCGCCTCCGCCTCGGAGGCAGCCCCCCCCCCCCCCCCCTTGCCGTTTCCGTTTCGCCCCCCCCGCAGGGGCTCCTCCTTTGCAGGCCGCCGGCTCTCCTGCCCAGACCTCCGACGCCGTGATTTTTTTTTTTTTTTTTTGCAGCGTTCCATCGGGCCTGTTCCTCTACAGGAGGAGTATTCGGGGGTGGACAGACCTCCTACCCTGACACGTCGATCAGCGAATTGGCCGTTGTCGGTTCGCGAGAGGGCGTCGCGGCCGTCACTTTTGCGGGTCCAGGCCCGTCGGTTTCGGTCTCAGGCCCTTTTCACTAAAGGGAGGTTTACTAAAGGGAGGTTTGTCCACCGCCGGAATTTTCCAAAATCGTTCAAAAATAATCTGGGGACGATTTTTGCGACCATGTTTGACTCTTTTGAATTCTTTTTAGACTGCCTTCTTTTTCGTTCAAAATTGCTTCAGGGTTCTGGAGTCCGTCCCCATAACCGGTTTTTCATCCTGAGCCGTTTTTTGATGGTCCCGTGGCCCCGTGAGGGCTCCCGGAGGGCGCAAACAGCGTAAAGAAAGCTTCCCGTCGAGATTTGTTCGCATCGCGAGGGGGTCTGAGTTACCCCCCACCCCCACATCTGGCCTCCTGGCGGCTCGGCGAGAGAGTTCTCGTCGGGGGTTGTCCTGCGTCTCGCGGCGCTCGGACCCAGGCCTTCGACGGGCTGAAGCTTTTGTCCAATCCGCGGGGCCAGGAGGGCTCGGCCCACCCCCGCTCTGTCCCAGGGGAAGCTGTTCGTTGCGGGCCAATTTCGGACAGCCATCACTGGCTCGCGGGAGGCCGAGGCAGAGAAGATCGCCGGAATCGCACGACGCAGTCGGCCTTAGGACCGTCGAGAGAGTGCTGGATGAAGGTTCACCGTTTCTGGGGCAGGGGTGGAGAGATTTGGAGGGGGATGATGATGATGATGATGATGATGATGATGATGATGATGATGATGATGATGATGATGATGATGATGATGATGATGATGATGATGATGATGATGATAATGTAGGAGATGATGAAGATGAAGATGAATGTATGGTGATGCTGATGATGCTGATGCTGACAATTATGACGATGCTGGATGATGATGATGATACTGATGATTATGCTGCTGATGATACTGGCGATGCTGATAACGCTGATGATGATGCTGATGGTGATGCTGATGATACTGATGGTGATACTGATGATACTGATGATGATAATGGAGATGATGAAGATGAAGATGAATGTATGGTGATGCTGATGATGCTGATGCTGACAATTATGACGATGCTGGATGATGATGATGATACTGATGATTATGCTGCTGATGATACTGGCGATGCTGATAACGCTGATGATGATGCTGATGGTGATGCTGATGATACTGATGGTGATACTGATGATACTGATGATGCTGCTGCTGATGATGCTGGCGATGCTGATAACGCTGATGATGATGCTGATGGTGATGCTGATGATAATGATGATGCTGCTGCTGATGATGATGTTGCTGCTGCTGATGCTGATGCTGATGCTGATGCTGATGATGATGATGATGATGATGATGATGACGATGCTGATGCTGATGCTAATGATGATGCTGTTGTTGATGACGGTGGTGATGATGCTGCTGTTCTTGATGCTGCTGATGCTGATGCTGATGCTTGTTATGCCGATGCTGATGGTGACGATGATGATGACGATACTGATCATGATGATGATGACGATACTGATCATGATGATGACAATGCTGATTATTATGCGTATGCTGGTGCAGCTGCTGCTGATACTGCTGATGAGGGTGAGGATGATGATGATGATGATGATCGTGCTGCTGATGATGGTGATGATGATACTGTTGTTGTTGTTGTTCATGGTGATGATGATGATGCTGGCTGCTGATGCTGCTGGCTGCTGATGATGATGATGCTGCTGCTGATAATGCTGATTCTGATGCTGATGCTGATACTTCTGCTGATGATGATGATTGTGATGGTAGTGACGGTGATGTTGATGGTGATGATGTTGATGGTGATGATATTAATGGTAAGGATGGTGATGGTGCTGATGATGATGCTGATGGTGATGCTCATCCTGAAGATGATGATGATATTGATGATGAGGTTGATGCTGATGATGATGATGGTGATGGCTGTGATGGTGATTACTCATGGACGATGACGACGGCGGTGCTGACGATGATGACCATGGTGCTGAAATGATGATGTTGTTGATGATGATGGTAATGATGATGCTGGAGATGTTGATGATCATTGATGTTGATGATGCTGATGCTGATGCTGGTTATGATGATGCTGCTGCTGACGATGATGCCGAGGCTGGTGATGATGATAATGATGATGATGGTGACGACGATGATGACGATTTCTGTGCTGCTGATCATGATGATGCTGACGATGCTGACGATGATGATGATGCTGCTGATGATGATGACGACGAGGATGATTATGATGATGATGATGCTGATGATGATGATGATGATGATGATGATGATGATGATGAGGATGATGATGATGATGATGATGATGATGATGATGATGATTATGCTGATGTTGCTGATGATGCTTATCATGCTGATGATGATAGTAATGGTGATGGTTGGTGCTGATGGTGATGGTCATTGTCATGGTCATCGTTATGGGCGATGGTGATGATAATGAGGAGGAGGAGGGGGAGGAGGAGGAGGAGGAGGAGGAGGAGCACATCCAGATAGCAAAATTAATCAGCAGTCATGGCAAGTAGCAGTAATCGGAGCAAGTAGTACACCAGTAGCGACGTCATGACGTCACTAATTGCAATCAGAGCGCAGCGGCAGGGATGCGCCACTGCTTCCCCTTTCCCTCGTCTCTTTCTCGTAGTGCTTCCCAGGCGCCGTTTCAGTCATTGGTGTCGCTCCTGTCTTGCATCGTTCTCGCTCTTCCTGGTTACTCCACTCTTCTGCTGCTCCCGTCTCTTCCATGCATCCACCATGCCGTTGATGGTTCAAGCCTGTTTGCGCCCGTCGAGCCAGTGATTACACTACTTAACTCGTACATATCAGCCACTCGTTCCGTTCTTGGAGATCTTCGCCCAGTAGGCCATGGCGAGAATGTTCGCTCGCGCCCTCGCCGCTGGGGTCCTCGTGGCCACGCAGGTGGATGCTGTGAAGATTCAGGCTTCGTCCGAGATGAATGCGAACAGTGAGATGGGCAGCCTGACGAGCGCGAACAGTGAGATGAGCGCCAGCGCCCTCTCTGAGGCGCTCGGCCACATGAGCGCCGAGGCGGTGCAGGCGCGCATCAGCAAGTACGCAGACCAGGTGGATGCGTCTCGCGACGAGCTCGTGATCAGCGAGGACCCGCAGGATGAGTCGGATCTCAGCTTCCTTGCCGCGCACGTATACGACCCTGGCTTCAGAAGCCGGCCAGAAGCCTCCGACGTTGCATTGCGGGACACCGTTGCGCCGCACATGGACGGCTCGGCGTCTGTATGAAACGGCTGGCCCCACTTCTGGGCAATTGCCAGAGGATGTGTGACAACAGCACGTGGCTAGCTCAGGAGTATTTCGGTGGCACTTCGAGACGAGCTGAGGTCCAAACGCAAAGGTATTACAGTCGACCTGGGTTGTTCTATCCAGGACTCTCCAGCGTTTGCTTGTTTTCCAGCTGATGTCTGGAATCGCCACTTCCATGCATTGTGCCAGACCTGCTTGGGATAGCCTTGGCGGGTGAAGCCCCGTGTCTAACAGCATCTCCTCGACCTCTGCCTTCTGTTTCAGCACCGCATCGTCTGCTATCGGGGCCGAGCGTGACCATCTGGTGTCCTTGCACCCCCCTCCTCGCCTGCCTTGTCGTCATGTCTGAACTTTTTCGTCGGCGGCGAGGCGGGGCAATCCGCACCAGCGAAAGAGCGAGGCAGGGGCACTACCAAGCTGATTGTCCGGCGTGCAAGAGCGGAAGGAGGACAAAGGGGGCCGCGGGCAGAAGGGGAGGAGGAGGATGCGCTCAGAGGCGGAATAATTCCACCATGAGCGGGCCGGGGCGGCAGCCGTCATGTCCGAACGGGCCTTGAAGCGCTTGAGCTCAGGGGTCCTCGCAACCGTCGCGCCCACCAAGGAGTCGACGGAGGGCCAGCTGCCACCCGGCCCGAGCATGCGCTCTCAAGATCGGTCTCCGGCCCCGTTCCCAGGGCCCACCTTGGCCCGCTTTTTGTGCGGCATCAGCCTTCACCCCCTTCAAGTGGGGCTGCGGATCTGCATTGCGATCTCTCTTCTCTTATTCTGCTCTTGATTCGAACGGCTCGCGCGTGAGATAAGATGATGCTGATGAACTTGTTTTCGTTGGAGAGCTGGCCCGTTTTTTGTGGCGGCCGTCCGGCCGCGGCGGTCCAGGAAGCCTTCGGGATATCCTCGGGGGACACAGCGGTAGGGAAGGCTGCGGCTGTTGCGACTGGCCTTCCGTCGAGAGACGGAGCCTGGAGGAGGAGGAGGAGGAGGAGGAGGAGGAGGAGGAGGAGGAGGAGGAGGAGGAGGACTCGTTCGTGGGGGTGGGGGTGATCAAGGCTCCGGAGGCCGGCCCTTGGCTGCCTGTTTTCAAAAGAGCTGTGGACTGTGCCACGTTTTGACTCAGGGGCTCAAAGGTTGCGGTTCGCAATTCAGTCGTTGCTCTCGTTCGCCGTTCCTAATCATTGCAGCCAGCGGTTGGCCCCCGAAGAAGAGGAAGGAGGGAGAGGGAGCGCCTCCCTCTTCCCGCTCCCCCGCCCCCCCTTCCGTGGCTCTTGGGCGCAAAACAGATCCGTACCCGAGGTTTCGCGGAGACCTGGGCCATTGGGTTGGGCCGCGACCCCGCGGACACTAGGCGTGGTTTCCGCGGATGCCCCGCGCGGAAGGTATCTTTGCGATCGTGGATCCGCGGGATCGCGCCCTGGAGTCCAGACCGTGAGAGCGCGGACATGGTAGGTTCGCGCCGTGTCGACCAGCGGCGACCCCGCCGCCAGCGTTCCACGTGGAACGCCGCTGGCGACCCAGAACCGGTCGATGTTGAACGATCCGATGTTTCGGAAGCGGCCGATCGTTCCAGGCGGAGCGATCCCCGCGGTGTTCGGGCCGACGCGACACGAACCCGCAGCACGTGCTCCCAGCCCCCGGCATCCGCCTCATCTGGCCTTGTCAGTGCGTTGCCCCAAGGAGGTCCCGACCGCTTCCCCAGGGGGTAGGCTCTCGTCCCAGATCTCTTTGCTACCCCCGGGGCCCGAAAAAAGGCCCCCCCCCCGATAGGATCGGAATCGAGGAACAGCGCCGAGCACGAGCCCCAGCACGAAGCCATACACCGCCCTTCGGCGCGCAGGCAGGAAGTGTTTGTGTTCAGGCGTGTATGCAGCCAGTGCGCCTGCTGAACAGGGCAACCGGAGGAGGAGGAGGAGGAGGAGGCGGAGGAGGAGGCGGAGGAGGAGGAGGAGGTGGAGGAGGAACAGCGCCAGGATTGAAAGCATCAGATCCTCGGAGGTCAGGCCCTGCAGTAACTGCGGATCCGTTCGCCGCTCTTGCTCGACGGATCCAGCCCGAGAATTGCAGCTGGAGTGGGCAGGAGGCTCTGATCGTGACTCTGACGACGGCGGGGCCTGCACGACACGAACCTGCCATGCAGGTCCGTTCGCCGCTGGTACTCGAGCCCTTCGAGGGTGGCAGCAGGTCGTGGAGCATCAATCCGTTTCAGAGCGTTCCGGAACGCTCTCGGAGCTTTCCAGAGCGCTCTGAGAAGGCAGCGGCGTCCGAGACATCCTCCAGAGCCGCTGGATCTTAGGGATTCTCGATATCGGGTATAGCCAGGACCCCGGTTAAGGGGAGCTGGTTAGTGATTGGGCCCCGAAGTCCAGAAGATGGACTGGAACCGCTGAACCAGGTCTGCCGTAGCTCGTGTTTTTTGGGCGACGGCAGTTCCGGTTAGTGGAATTGGGGCGGGGGGGGGGGGGGCTTACCCCGGTTCACATCACTCACCCAGGTCTCGGGAGCCGCGTAATGGGGGGGTGATACGGCGGGGGCGTTGGTTAAGAAATGTGCCCAGGAGGCTCCAGCCCCTGGAGGGTTCCTTATCTGATGAGGGCGGCGGTGATATCCATGGCCACTCCACGATTGGCTTTCCACTGGCTTCCAGACCTTGGAGTCCTTACCCAGCGATTCCTTACTCAGTGTCCCCAGCGTAAGTGCAAGGGCAGCGAGGGCTGCAGAAGAGGGGCCTTCTCGGGCCCGGAAGGGGCCCTGTAGGGCCCCAGAGGGGGCCTCTGGCGCCCGAGAGGTGCACCTTTCTTCCCCCCCCCCCGTTGTCGCCCCCTCTTCCTCCTCCTCCTCCTCCTCCTCCTCCTCCTCCTCCTCCTCCTCTCCTCCTCCTCCTCTTCCTCCTCCTCCTCCTCCTTCTCCTAGCCGCGCGGCCCAGGTGCTGCACATCTGGCGGCTGCTCGGGGCGCTGGCCGACCCCCGCAGGCCCGCCTCCAGCCGCCCCGATACTGTACCATACCCCACTCATGTTCCTTCCTTGGCGTATTATGCGCGTGGTGGTCTGGAATCCGTTATCTTTGTCTGACAGGGATAGAGCACTGGAGATCCAGCATGCCCTTCGTACCATCGATGTCGTCGTTCTCACGGGCACGATTCAGAAGTGTGTACGCCAGCTTGCCTATCTGTGCGATGACTACCTAACTTCAAAGCTATTCAGTGTGGCTGGTCTCCCCGTGGTGCATACACCAACAGGTCTTGTGGTATTACATTTATGGTCAATAAGGCTACGATCAAGCCGCGCGACATTGTTCGGATCTGGACGCCCCCCGTGGATATTCAGGGGCGCGCGGTTGCCTTGCGGATCAAGCGATTCTACGGGGACATCACTGTCGTCGGCGTGTACTTCCCGCCCAGGGCGCGAGACCCACGAGAGCAAGTCAAGTTCCAACGCGCGGAGCAGCGCATACATGACTTTACAGCACATGTCTTGCGGTCGCTTCCCTTGCGAACGTTCCCTGTGGTAGCTGGTGACTTCAATGATTGGTGTCGGTTGCTCTCCTGGGAAGCATGGTTCAGTCACAATTGAGTCTCCCGCGATCGGTTCACATAGTGTGAGTGCCGAGCGTTTGACAGGTTCCTGCATGAGGGAACTAGCAGCATCCTTTGGCTTGGCTTTTGCAGACACTTTTACCCCTGCGGGTCCTACGTACTATGGCCCGCCTCTTCCCACTGACGAGAGTTCTGCTAACTATGCTAGACGTGTCCCGAAGCAACATTGTTCGTGGATCGATCATGTTCTACTCCCTCGGGCCTGTGTCCCTCGGCTGCGTCGCTTCACGTTGCTTTACCGCACTGCTCGGGAACTCCAAGCTATACCAGATGGTCGTCCCCGTGATCATGTCCCTATGACGTTTGAGATAGATATTCGAGGCCCGTGCACGAAATCCGAGAAGATACCACGGAGGGACTTCGTTGGTCTCGGGCAGGCTCTACGAAGTGAATTCCACGCTGACGTGTTCAGGCAACGAGTCGAGGGTGTTGTTCAGAGTCTTCTGGGGTGCCATTCTGTGTATGCGGTGAAGGAGCTGGTGCAGTCCATGTCTCTTGGGCGTGCTTGGGAGGAGGTCACTGCCATGTTACGTACTGAGGGCTCTGGGATGTTCGGAGCTACTCCGAGGGCGTTGCCCACCTTACCAACTGCTCGCGCAACAGCGGGTGGAGGCTCTGAAAGCTCGGGGACAGGCCCGCGCTGCCATGACTGGAGAGATGGAAGCTGTACTATACCTGACTCGTCTCACGCGTCGCTGCCGGCAGCTGCAACGGCAATTGCGGGGGGGCCCGAGAGGCGCAGCTGGCCCAGGAGCTTGCCGAGGCTCAAGCCGTGGGGCTCCCCTCTGAGGAGTGGAGGACATGCCGATTGATGGCGGGCGGTGGCGTCGGGCCTCGACGACGACGGTTCGGGCGCATCGCCGAGTGCACGCCGCGCATGGAGGAATGGATGGGGGACCTTGCGCTACCATCGAGCCAAGGGGGGGTGTCAGCCGCGCCCGTGGACGCCGAATCTTTCATCTGGGAGGCTGCCGCGCATGATTGTTCTCGGCTGCCGTGCTGGGAGGACGCCGAGAAGGGGGAGAACGATCTTGATCGCATCTCGAGAGGCTTTCGCGTTGCCTGCCGCCGTCGTGCTGCCGTCCCGTGGTCCGTGCCCAACGAGATCTGGCCCCCCTTGCTATCGATTTGCCCTGGCTGTTCGGAGCGTGCTGCTGGTCTTGGAGCTCCGAGGCCACAAGGGAGGGGTCCATTCTTCCAGAGGTTTATCGCCTGTA